CACCCGCCGGTTCGCCTAATTTTAGCCGCAATCTGTACCTTAGAAACGTAGATAAGTGTCGATAAACTTACTAATCGACGAATAAAACAGCATTCTATACAAAACAATTCCTTCTCTTTGTTTTATGTCAGTTGAATCGTCGAGTAATATCAGCAAAATAACTTGGCATTTTTGCTCGCGCTACTGCAGTAATTTGCTTTCGCCGCACCGGGGCGCTTTTGATCCATGGCGATTTCTACATCAAATGGCCATCAACCGCGGCCGTTGCCGTGATTGCGGCTCCTTAGCCAGCTAGTAACGACAATAAAAATGGACGTTTCAGCTGAGGAAATGATCTGAGTTAGGAAATCTCTGTTAGAAATTTGAAGTGGGGCCTTTTCTGTCAGGTAAGCGTTTTGCTCAGGTCTATTGGACTCGCCTCGGGTGGCCGAACAACCGTAGGCTCCCGGATATCTCCGCGGTGCTGAAATGGTTGCCCGCCCGCCCAGCGCCGAGCGTTTTACGTACTGGTTCGGTTTATAGGAGTATTACACTGCCTATGAGACGGCAGTGATCAGTTAGGCTAGCTGGCTGAAAATTTAGACTATCAGAAAGGCCTGTGCTAAACGGACTGGGGATCGGCTAAACACTAGTGGCTTCCAAGCCGGTTCGTAGAGAATGGTCACCGGGCTAATGGTGGTGCATGCACACGGTGGTATTGAAGGAAGAGAAAAAGGAGCCAAACAAAATCTTCAGATCATTTATTCCTTTATTTCATAATAGGTATCATGAGCTGAGATATCTGAATGACCCAGAGAAAGCAACAAACAAGGGGGCGTATGCTTTTGCGAAGAGAAGTAGTAACATACATGTAGTACATATAGTATCTTCCTTCCTAACATCTGCTTGGTTTTCATTCATATGGTAATGTATTGGACCAGAGTTTGACGGTCCTCGACGGCGAAAATTTCAGTTCTGCAAGCGATCAGCTGATCGCCGAAACACATTTTTACGCATAACTCGAGAACGAAGAAAATTTGGACAAAGGCATTTAGCAGGATTATAAAAGAGACTACAAGAAATGTACTCTGAAAATATGGGCACCAAAAAAGGCCAAAAATTTGATTTTTCTGAAATTGGAAAAGCGGAAATTCATCCCCTATCACACTCCCGTTTTCGAGCTCCTGTTCCGGAAAGGCCCGTATCTCGCTAAAGAAGCCTCGCTCATTCCCAGATTTGGCCATTTCGCGAGTGGGGAAACGCGATGGGCTCTTATGGGGGTTTTACTCAAGGTCTTCCTCGCTCTTGTTCTTGACCTTGAGGCACACCCTGACTACCTGAATATCACAGATAGATCGGAAAAGAACCGTTTTAGTCTTGTATATTTTCATTTTGAGGCAAACATTTATAGAACGGCTTGTACAAGCGGCTGAATATGGGGCTTTTTTGGTCAAAATTTTTGCAATTTCAGTGTGCATGTAAGCAATAATCTCTTAACAACGTACTATTTATACATGATAAAACTCTTATTATTCCTTTAATACAATAGATATACTCAGTAGAAATATTTTTACCCGAAATATTAGAAATTTTACAGATTACAGTAACTTCCAGTAAATGTATTGTTAACTTATGTGGTACATTTAAGCATAATCCTCCAAATCCTACTGTAACTGTAGAGTGTAAATTTCATCATTGCTAAAGTAAATGAAACAGAAGCACACACAAAAAAACACATGCCACAAAAACAGTTCATGCAGCGAAGCTTTATTTCTCGTCACATCATGAGCTGTGGCACATTGTTGAATTGTTGCAGGTAATCAACCATTGTCCTTAATATAATTGCCTTATTATTATTAGAAACCTAAAATCAAACCATTCCATTCTTTATGAAATGTAATTTTCTCACTGTAACAGTCAAGAGTGATTGGCCCGCAGAAACTATAGAACTGGTCAGTACAGATACTGCAGTTCACTTTCAAAGTTTCGACCATTCTTGAACTGTCCCGTTCATAGAATTACTGTTTAATTCTTGTCCTATGTTAACAGGAAAAATTAAATAGGAGAAAAGGCTTTAAGCTATGGCAAATTCTGAAGCATCTGAGTGTGATGTCAATGGTTTGTCGTCGTTGATCTCGTGCCAAGATCAGCTTAGTTCTGGCTGATTAAGTCAGGAGGCAGGGTGTCTGCAAAACATAAATGAAGACCTTAACCATTTGTTTGTTTGTTTGTGGGGTTGTAAGGCACAAACAGTAAACAATCACAAGGCACAGCGCCGTACAGCAGACCAGATGTATTTTAGCATTTCAAGTCTGTTAATCTATGATCATGAATGATAACCAGGGTAATGCAATGTCATCTCTAAAAGGGCCTATTTGAGCAAATATGCAAGGTGGTGGAAAATTACATTTTGGGGAAGAAAATAGTGTAAAAAAAATAATTTACCGTCACACTTGGTGACGAGGTCGGACCAGATGACGTCCTGTTGGGAGTAACAGTACACCCCGAGACGGCCGCCCCGCAGCGACTGGTCCTGCACGGTACCGGAGTCCACAACAAGCTGGCTGCCTGCATACAGCTTCAGCCTAGATGTACAGATATGAATGAAAATCTAAATTTTATTTTAAGCCATCTTATTAGAACGTAAACTTCCTCCATAGAATAAAGTAAGCAAGACGATAGCACGTAAATCAAGTATTGTTAAGTATTACCAAAAAAGTGGTTTGTATGAGCCTTGTTTTGAGGTGGAAATTGAAGTAAATAAATACAAATACAAAAATAAAAAGTAAAAATTAAAAAAAAGTACCTGATCAATCCGACGGTAGGAACATGCTTCAGTTCCCAGCGGTAAGCAGTCTTGTCATTCCAGCCAATCTTATTGGGATCTTCCCACAGCAGCTTTGTCTTTGAACAAACGAAAAACAGACTTTTACACCATCCTGACACTGGTTATAAATACATGGTTATGCACATGTAGTAATGTAACATGAGGTTTATTGGAACTATTGAACATTGAAGCCCCTGGCTTCCAGGATGCTGCAAAGGCTGCATTGCCATATACATGTATCAAATTAGACTGGGTAAGTCTTACCTGTCCCTGGACCTCAGCTGCCTTCCACAGAGCCAATGCCAGGTCTGGACCAGGCCCAGTCGTCGAGTCCACCAGCTGAAAACAAATACATGGTAGTGTAATGAATGATGAGATGCACACATCAACAGATTCAATCATCTTGTGAAATACAGATGTATGGAGAACGCCTAAAATGTCCAATGCACACAGTGACTAGTATTTTGTATTTCTATTATCTGCCTTGCGCCCTCCTCTAGATACTGAATCATGAGATAAAGGATGTTCTAGGATGTGTGTTGTGTTATTCATCTTGTACATGATACTTATGAGGATTTTAACACCATGCCCTATTCAACCTGAAAAATATTTTGTAAATCAAGATAAGCGTTAGAGCATGCCTTTAGCTGAACGCCCGCCTGTCCACCGTCGCCGTCCCCGGCCTGCTTCCAGGACACCAGGTAGAAGCGAGAGTTGCTCTGGAAACTGAAGACGAACCCCACGAAGTCGTCATCAACCTGGGTGTTCACAAAGAAGGTTCCGCGGTAGTCCACGCTCCCGAAGTTTGTCGAGCCTGGAACAAGTTTTTAACCATAAAATGTTAGATACTAACATCATGCATTCATTCTGTACAAGTCAATTAAAATATTCTAATGACCATATGACACTTACGGAGAGGCCCCCTCCTCGATAGGCAGCAGTGCTAGCCTGTTGAATGAAAATGTATTATTCAAAAGCTTTTCAAAAGGTTCAACATAAAAACGTTGCTGAATTTGAATTTCTGTCGCTTTCAAATTCAAATTCAGCGATCAATTTTAGAAGTAAAGATTAAACCATAGACAAAGCAGACAAAATCTGCAAAATGTGTTTATTTAATGCTAATGTTATTGCTAGCAGAACAAGATGAGAGGAATGTTATTTACCAAGAAGAATGCCAGGGCCGCTGTTCACATGTTGTGCTATCTCGACACCCTGTCGCAGAAATGAAAAGAGTAAAGTACTCTTAGTACAGTGAAGTATTAAGTATTGAACACATATGGTGTTACACCACTTGCACAGTATATTTAATAATAGTCTTAGTGCAAAAGTGTAAATGCCCACCTCGTTAAGGAACTCCCATTGTGGTGGTGGGCTGTCGGAGTTGGCCGCCACGAGGTTGATAGTTTGGTAGTTCTTGAAGTCCGTACTGCTGACCATGTTGTTTTCAGGACACACATCTTCAGTATCTAACACGCCATCCTGGTCAAAGTCAAGACTGCAGACATCTCCAAAACCATTTCCTGGGAAACATAGAGCAAAACGTCCATGACTTATAATCCTAGATTTCTGATCAGAATACGCCTTATGATTGAAAACTGAAAAAGTTGAGGAATGTAATCATTCTGGATGTGAATTTACATAAAATGATATGAACGACAGCAAGAGCAAGGAAAATTACTTTTGTTATGGTACTTAGAAAATTATAAAGATGTGTAACAGAATACTTACCGTCAAAGTCGGATTGGTTCACATTAGGAAGGAGACGGCAGTTGTCGAGATCATCAGGTACAGTGTCGTTGTCATCGTCATCATCACATTGGTCTCCTGTATAGCAATAATGTTACGTAGTAATTACCATCGCCAAGAAGGTTATATTTTCAGTAGTGTTTGTCTGATTGAGAACAGCATAACTCAAGAAGATTTAAATGTATTGTCACGAAACATGATAGGTAGGTAGGTCTTTGTAAGACCTAGAAATGATTAGATTTTGAACCCCTTATATATAGTGGTTTTCAATAGTACTGAAGCAGATCTTCGAACTTCCGGTTTCCATATCTTCGGATCGGGACAAGCTAGGGTAACGAATTTTCGATGGTAGATGGATCTTCTAAAGACACTAAGGTCTCCTTTCTTGTAAGCACTTTATCATGGACGTTGGTGAACCTGTAATTCAGTCTGGATGAAATGTTTGAAAATAGCAAACAGAGGAAACATTAGGAACTCTAACAGTATCAGTGTGCTAAAAAATAGGGATATAGACAGTATGTGTGTACCTTGGCCATCATTGTCTGTGTCAAGTTGTGCACTGTTAGGTTCCATCAGACAATTGTCCAGACTGTCAGGAACACCATCAGAATCGCTGTGTAGGCGATGGAAGCATTGAAGTTGTTTAATATTTTTACATCATCGGGACATTTTCATAAAAGATCTAGATCTACGTAGTTAAACATACCTGTCAATGCCATTCTCACAAGCGTCTCCGATTTGGTTTTGATCTGCATCGACCTAGAAATGATAGCAAACATGTTAACATATCAGAACGTCATCCAATGTATGAATTATCAAGTACATTTGTAAATTTCCAAATCCCCCCTTTCAAAGCTAAAAAAACTCAATCCAATACTTTCATAAAAAAATTCTACCAATACCTGATCCGAGTTTGGTACATTTGGACAATTGTCGCAAACGTCTCCAATACCATCTCCATCTGAATCAGTCTGGTCTCCATTCAGCTGTAACGGACAGTTGTCCTGGCTGTCGATTAGTGCTGCAAAAACCAGACAGTGCAAAGCATTAATACTTTGACTTAAACTGGTATGTTTTCATGGACACTAAAAGACTAATTTTATGCTGTCAAAGGATATTGTAGTATACTTGTCATAATAACGAGGCTTAAAGATGATGTCCGCATTCAGTGTCCTTACCATTTCTGATTTGACTGAAACCTGGAGATACAGTCATGTATTCTGAATAAGGCAATCTATATACATATTGACACATATTGCCCCACATTAGCACATTTGAGTTTAGTATTTCATACGTTGGGCATTTAAAGCAGCCCCGAAATAAGCCCCAAGAGTAGTCCTGGGTGGTACATGAAAAATCAGCCCAGAATTATTCCAGTAACTGTTTTCTGTTACAAATGTCGGCAATTTTGCTTTATGAAGACAGTTGATATACATTGGGATACTGTTGTTTCAACTAATAATATGTAGATAAGTACCTAGAATACTGATTTTGCAAAGTCCGGTTTTCAAGCCCTAAAAACTGCATTGGGCACATTAAATGGTGATTTTAATCAGTTTCTTACCGTCCCCATCGCTGTTCTGGTCACACGCGTTTCCCCACCCGTCACCGTCGGTGTCCTGTTGGTCAGTGTTGATGTCCGCTGGGCAGTTGTCACACCCATCGCCCACACCATCACCATCAATATCTGTCTGGTCAGCGTTGGCAACCAAGGGGCAGTTGTCCTGTGTAAAAGGACAATATAATAAATACCAAATAGGCTGGTAATGGTTGCTTTAGGTGATCCATGTCACCAGTATATATTCATGTGTGTATTAACTGTGATTGGTTCACTATAATTATAATAACTACAATTAGTAAATACCACTTTTTATGGAGTGAGCCCTGCATATCCATATCTACCTGTAACTACCTGGTGTTATTTTAACGTGATCTGGTACATACATCTAGGAGTGGCTGACTAGATTGCAGAAGCAATACAAGTAAGTCTGGGAATGGTTGTCTAAAACATCAAAGGCCAATTAAAAGCAAACATAACCAGACTTACCTGGCATTTATTTACATGGGTAAATCCCACTTTTTGTGCAGTGTACATATTTTATATAATACTAAACTGTCTATATTTGTCTGTCCTCTAATAAGAGAGGTACATGAATAAATCATTAGTCAATGTTACTCAACAGTAAAGATTGATGATTAATGTTATTGTTACCAAAGTGTTTAGGAAGCCATCATTGTCTGCATCCTCGTCACAGGCATCCCCTGCACCATCCCCATCAGTGTCCTCCTGTCCACTGTTGGGAACCCATGGACAGTTGTCCTAAAAACATAATACAAATCACTGTGAAAACTTTGAACTTTCTCGGCCAGGACGTTTTTGCCACTACTACAGAAGAAAATCGCCATTTCTTACTCCATACTCCATCTCTTAGGTGAAAGTTCCACGCTGAAAGCTTCTTTCCTAGAACTACATCACTATAGACTAAGCTATCTTGTGATTGCTTCCCAAATGGGTACAACCTTAATCTTTTCAACTCTAGAGTGAACAACATGTATAAGTTAAGTGGTTTGTATGAGGTGAAAATTAAAATGAAAAAATTTCAAAGTCATTGAAAATCGATTGCTACAGAAAAGGTACCTGGTGACAGGATGTGTCGTTACAAGGCAGGGAGGCATCTGGATAACCGTCTTGATCACTGTCTACTCCACAGGTCAATCCGTCTCTGGAACCGGCATATCCTGGCCCACACTGGAGTACAACGATGCAGTTCGTAAGAGTATGTACGTGTTGCCATTACGCACAGATAATAACTAATTCAATCAAGAGCAAGACATATGTCAATAGTGATGAGTTCTTACCTTACACGTCAGTTTCCTCTTCTCGTAAGTGCAACTTGAGCATGGACCAGCCCCGCCTTCGCAGTCTGTGTGACGAAATGTTTTAATATAAATAAGAAAGATAACATTTGCAAAGCAAATGCATAATGTTTTCCTTCGTTTATGGTCTGCTCTGTTAATTCTTACTCCAAAACATTCATATATGTGGTGACAGGAGTCTAAATCCCTCCTGCTATAAAATTGCAACATGATGTAACCCAACACCAGTTACCATGGTGACAGACGTCTGGTTCAGGTCATTGACCTTATTTTTTTTTAGAAGAAGAGGAGAAAGAAACAGAGCAAAAACAATATGTTTGGCTTCTGCGAAGGTAAACATAATAATTATCATATCTCAATGTTACAATCTATTAATGAGCTCTAACATAGCTCTGGGTATAATAATACAATGTTTTCTTTGTTTGATTATAAGCAAAGGGAGTGTACTCACACGAGAGGCACTCTGATAGCTCCCCACCTCGGGGAAACATTGTCCACGTGTTGGCTGGACAGGATTTACAGGTGCTTTGGGCAGGTTGGTCCTGGTACTGTCCGACCGGACATTCCTCACAGGTGTCTGTGGTTACGTCATGGAAGGTTCCGCGAGGGCAGTCAGCTGTAACACAAGATAGGTCAGTACAGGTGTAGATGATGATGATGTTATTTAATTTAATTAAAGGTATCTGTAAACAATTTCATCAGGTTGGTGAACAATTAAATAGCAAAGTTCTTTATTCACACCCACATGTCCATGACCACATGACAATCTGTAATCTTCATCAGTACAATTAACGTTTTATCAAACAAGAGATTGTAAAATATAGATTGTTGCTATTCATTCTATTCTATGCAATGAGCTGTTTCTATGTACCTCTTTAGAGTTTCACACACACACACACACACACACACACACACACATACACAGAGAGAGAGAGAGAGAGAATGAGAAAGAAAAAGGGTGAGAGAGTGACGGGAAGGGGATGTATGACATATGGACAGAAATCAACAACTTAGTACTAAGAGGGTGAATATCAGTAGTTACTCACTGCAGTACGCCTGATAGTCGTCCTGATATGTGAGCTGCCCAACGGTACAATTAGCGACTATTTCTGCAAACCCCATGTCAAACGATCCGGCCGTGACTGGCTGTCCTCCAATGACCATATTGAAGTCGTTGGACGACACTTTGTCTGCAATTTCGTAGTACACGTCATCCAAGGCAAACACGAGATCCAACTGCTGGAGTTCGGTGATGTTTCCCTGTGAGATGGTGGCCACAACTTCAAAGTTGATGGTAAATCCATATGTAGCCCTTTGAGTCCCTTGCCTCAGAATGGACCTCTTGCTGGTGCTTCTGGCTTGCCCCCCACAATCAACTTCGAGCGACCCTAACTGCATGGATATAACCCCTTGGGGCTGACTGGACTGTAACTGGCTGAAGAGTTGCTGAAAGTTGGAGATGATTTCTTGCGTGCTACTCTGACAGTCACCGTCATAGTAGTAGAAGGCGTTCCCCATTATATGTGCTGACCCAGGACGATGTCGACCTGTTAGACAGCAAGTAAACATCCATTTGTAAGACATGTAGTTATCATGATACTATGAATGACTTAACAGATTAATTTGATGTTATATCTAAGAAATGTGGGTAAATTAGGTAGTCCAAATTATATTAAAAAAACTTAATTAATATGTGTCAATGTCATATTAACTAAACGTTGGCCAATCAAATTTAGAAACAACTTTGACGTCCTTCCAGATTGCGGAGAAGTGTTTTTGAAAGTCACCAACACCTCCACAGCACTTGTACTTCTAGGCATGATAAAAGGTAACAATTTACGTGTACAGTCCGGCCATGGTCGGAGACCGGGCGAGAGTGGTTGTGGACCAGTTGAATGATGAGCGCTCCAACCACCTTCAGTGAAAAAAAAAAACTATTAGCTTTATTTTGGTTTTGTGTTAAAATAAAGCTAAATTTGCATGTTTAGTTTCTATAACTCTGACCATCGACGTAAAATGATTTTGGACTGACAATACAACAAGCCCAATGATAAAAGAAGAAGACACCACACACTTGCTGATTATCGTTCTAGTACACAATTAAGCAGTAGACTGTACGTGTATTTCAAGTATAAACTTCAACATACCATTTGAAGTACAGGTGTAAGCATTAGCTGGAGCACGATAAAACTCTCTTTCTTCTTCACAGAATACGGTGCATACTATGGTGTCAGTTGTGACATCAGAATTTGTGCACACTTTGCCACCATGTAGAGGTGGGTCGTAGTCTTCACTGCAAGGCGCTGTAGTTGTGATAAATAATGCTTAGTTAAAATACTACTCGTAGCAAGACTAACTTGTACGTACATATATTGATCTCTATATTATCGTCATCATTATAATATTTATTTCAAGATCATTGGTAGAGCTAATCAAATGGACAAATTTAATCTTAAACAGCTTTCGTCATCAAAAATCGGATGCGTCAGGTACCAACAAGGATTCAAGATCTTGTAAATTGGTAAGACATCTTTTACCTACATACAAAGTTACCTCCCGCACCTATATATGGTGCGTAGGGTGTGGCGCTTATCTCCGCTTGTGTAGTCCTTGGGCCACACAATTGCGCAATCACTACAGCTGGTCCAATGGTAGTGGTGTGTGTTTAATCTTTCCCAAATACTGAGTGCTAAGCAGCTAGAGAAAACATGTAGCATTTCAAAGACTTTGATATGACTCAGGAATTGACCCACCAAATGCAAGACTAACTCTACCCACTTGGCCACGACACCTATTTTAACTACACGTGATATACAATCCGTGATATTACATAACGACTTACGAGTCTGGCATCTTTCTCCCTTGTAACCTGTGGGACACAAGCAGGAGAAGGCTTCGTCTCCATCCATACATGTGCCGCCGTTGTCACACGCTCCAGTGAAACAGTTGTCTTCCGCTAGATGTAATAAGATGGCAATAATTCAAAATTTAATTATAAAATCTTTTTACTTAAAAGTGTAACTGGACACATATTTGGAAAGTCATACTTAATTCAGTCAATGTAAAATATTACCTGAACAAGATCTTCCATCGTCGTCGAGAGAGAACCCGTCGAAACATCCACAGGAGAACCCTCCGAGGATGTTGAAGCAATCTTGCTCACAGTCGTGAAGGCCTTGGGTGCACTCATCGAGATCTGAGGACAATTGGAGAGCTTTTTTAGTAAATGTTAAGTATTCCGTAACCATACAAAACACTCACTGACCCATTCCAGGGTACAATATATTTTCACTCCTCTGGCGGAACCCCTCGCGACTGACTCTAGTCTTGTCTGCATACGAAATACTTGGTATTCCCCAAGGTTTTTCTCAACAACTGGAGGGTTTTCACAACCGACGTTTCGGTGACCGTCTGTGGTACAAATCAGAACCAGTTATAGTTGACCTAAGGAAGGTGACAGACGGTCACTGAAACTTTGGATTTAAAAACGCCTTGTTGTTGAATAAAGAATGTTCATTAAGAGTCACAATAGAGTTTGCTCCTACCCAGCGATGCACGAGGCGCTGTTTACGTCGAGCTGGTATCCCGCCTGGCAGGAGCAGCGATAGCTACCGTGCTCATTTGTACAGGTATGGTCGCATGGTCCTCGACCACCGTTAGTCTGGCATTCATTTATGTCTGTAAGAAGAAATACAACTTCTGAATTTATTCAGCATGTCATCCTGAAATCTTTGATCACAAATGAATCTATATGGCACAATCGTGAAATAAATGAACTATGCTCCGAAGAACATTTAGTATTTGGACCATTCTAGTAAGAGTCATATGTCTCCAAAATAAAAGGTTGATATTCTGTTTAGTAACCCTTAGTGAGTGTTCCGCGGATGACAAAAATTTCATGAATTGAGCACAAATTATATTTGTGCATTCTCCATGTGTTTACATTTACATCGTTTACATGGTGGTTTTAGGCATACGTAAATCGACATGACCATAAGAATTCTCTTGGCTCAATTGCTTCAGCAAAAACAAAACTGCCATCAGTGCTTGTCCAAAATGCAAACACTTGATGTCTAATTAACATTACATCAGTTACCCGAGCAAGTCTTCCCATCGGGGTTGAGAAAGAAACCGTTGTTACATCCACATGTGTATCCGCCCACAATGTTCTGACACTCCTGCTCACAATTGTGTTGGGCTTCGTCACATTCGTTTATATCTAAAAGACAAAAGACTTGGTTAGTCAGTCATCTTTGTCTAGTTATCACCATCTGATGTTTTCACAAAACTGATAGCCCAAGTCTCGAAGATACATGTATTTCTTTCCTGTTTTCCTCAAATCACCCCAAATGATAAGGATCACTTGTTAGCTCTACAACCCAAGTATATCTTTTATGATAACTAATACCTTAACATGAATCATGGAGCAACCATGATAATCATTGTATCATAAGCTTCTTCATATAACACACACACTAAATGCAAAATTGAAACCCTTTCTGAAAAAAATAGCAATACGATAGATGTGCAAAGTGATTAACGTTACATCAAACAGTTACCCGAGCAAGTCTTCTCATCGGGGTTGAGAATAAAACCGTTGTTACATCCGCATGTGAATCCGCCCGCAATGTTCTGACACGTCTGCTCACAGTCATGTTGGGCTTTGTCACATTCGTTTATATCTGAAGCACAAAAGACTCTGTTATCACTAGAAAAGATGCTTTGATGCTTTCATTGATGCTTTCACAAAACTAATAACTAACCAAAGTTTTGAATAAACATATAATATAATCTCTGTTTTCCCCAAATCACCCCAAGGAAAGCGATCACTGGTAAGCTCTACGACCCAAGTATATTTTTATGATAACTAATATCTTAACATGAATCATGGACAGCAAGCATGAAAATCACTGCATCATAAGCTTCTTCATATGACACACACACTAAATGCGAAATTGAACCCCTTTCTGAAAAAAATAGCAATACGATAGATTTGCAAAGTGATTAACGTTACATCAAACAGTTACCCGAGCAAGTCTTCTCATCGGGGTTGAGAAGAAAACCGTTGTTACATCCGCATGTGAATCCGCCCGCAATGTTCAGACACGTCTGCTCACAGTCATGTTGGGCTTCGTCACATTCGTTGACATCTTGTAGACAAAAGATATAAGGTAAAACAAGAAACAGTCATGCCTTCAAATATTAGTCTAAGAGTTATCAACCAAGATTTGAGGTAAGGTGGGTATCGCTGCATTTGTTGTGTGTAAGTACTGCATAAGCGACATCTAGCCTAGCTGCAGTACTTAGTTGTTGAAAAAAGGACTTCCTTATAAATTGAATGTCAAATATAGTTGTTCCTACCGATGCACGAGACGCTGTTTACGTCAAGCTGGTATCCCGCCTGGCAGGAGCAGTGGTAGCTACCCTGCTCATTTATACATATTTGGTCGCAAGGTCCCTGGCCTCCGTTAGTCTGGCACTCATCTATGTCTGTAAGAATGAAATACAAGTAGTGAACTTCAGTGATAACAGCATATCATCTTCAAATCTTCGATCACCAAAGATGATATGCTATTATCACTGAAGTTGGCATAAATCATTATTAGGCCCCCCTACAGGACATTTAGTACATGGACCGTTCTAATAAGGTGCCCTTCTTTAAATGGTAGGTATGGTAAATAATACACATCCCTGTGTATCTGACTAAAGGCAGTGGAATTGCTACCTGAAACATCTAACCTTTTCCAAAATCATATCCATTTGTTTTCTTTTGGCGTATCTTATTATCTGGATGTTTAACCGTCACTGACGTCAATTAGATGAGATTTGGATACGCGGTGTTCCAGAAATATTACCTGAACACGTCTTCCCGTCAGCGTTGAGAATAAAACCGTTGTTACATCCGCATGTGAATCCGCCCACAAAGTTCTGACATGTCTGTTCACAGTTGTGTTGGGCTTCGCCACATTCGTTTATATCTGAAACACAAAAGCCTCTGTTAGCCATCTTTTTGTAGTTATCATCATCTGATGTTTTCGCAATACTGATAACCCAAGTCTTGAAGATACAATGTATTTCTTCCCTGTTGTCCCCAAACCACTCCAAATGATGCCTCTGTAAAAATAGACTAGTTGTGGACTAGTCCGGACTAGTCCCTTGACTAGTCCCCGGACTAGTCCCCTTCCGATGCCCAGGACTAGTCCCGACCTCGGACCTTTGGTGGTCCGGCAGGGCCAGGACCTCCCAGGACTAGTCCGGACTACTTGGACTAGTCCATTTTGGTGGGCAGGACTAGTCCCGGACTAGTCCTGGGACTAGTCCTGATCGGCCAGGCTTGGGGTCCAGGACCGGTCCTGGCGGGTTGGGCGGGACCGGTCCTCCGTGGGCAGGGCGGGACCGGTCCTAGTGGGCAGGGCAGGACTAGTCCTCGCAGGCTGTGCGAGCTCGCGGGACTAGTCCTCGCAGGCTGGGCGAGGTCGCGGGACTAGTCCTCGATTACAGAGCAGGACTAGTCCTCGCTGGCAGACCACGGCGGGACTGGTCCTGGCGAGCTGCGTGGGTGATTTTCACGTTTGGAACACTCGGGACTCGGGAGGGTAGATGTCTGACTGTGACACCGTGCGTACAGTTATTTATTTGAGGGCTTGCCCCGACACATCCGCCAATCGCGACGACCCAGGAATATATAGCGAACACCGGCAAGGAGGGCTTGGAACGACATCGATTCGTCCATAACACGCATCTGATAAATGAAAATGTTGACTAGTGGAAAGAAAGTTACACTTCAATGAACATATTTCTCTTGTGTATCGTCGATATTGCCACCAATTTGCGGTAAAACAAGAAGTGGCGCATGGTAAGTAAATGAAGGTCACTGACGTCCTGGGCGCCCGGTCATGTCGCGGCATAGTTCGCCAGTCAGCCGGTGCCGGTTTCAGTGGAACCCCGAAAAGAAATTCACCCCGGCCCGTAAGTATATGTAACAGCTACGTAAGACTAAGAGGGTTTATGTGTGAAAGATCTGAAATGGTCCGCGAGCCATGAACGTTCTTGATCGTCGTATGAAACGTAAGTCGTAATGATCATGATCAGTTCTAATGCAGTTCCGGCTCGAATTAAACACAGAAATCTCCAACAAACATTATGTCCATGCCGTTACAAATATTCAGTTGACAGATACTAGTATTTGTTATCCATGTTTCATTCGTATCAGAAATCTCTAAATCTTGATAAATGCCGCAGGAAATTACAGTACTTTGTAGCGAGACGGTTTCTGTATGAGTGAAAATGCTGGGTATATTGTTCTCCCACGGTACGGCACGATACGTCACAATATTGGGGCGGAGTTTAAAATTTAGTCTTTTGAAGTCTCCTGCCGCCCGGTCGGTGGGTGGGGCTCCCAGCCTGCGCCGTGGTTTGAAGATTGTGGCGTCCATATAAGGGTATGGGGTCAAAGTTGAGCCATATTTACGAGATGGCACCAAAGCAAGCCGACGACAACCAAATAAGGGCAGTCGCTAGTTCCGATGCTCGCAATCTTTTACCCCGGGAAGACCCGGCGCACCCACACATATCCTTCCACACAACATACTAATAAAGGCATCAATACAATAATATTTACACTCAATTACTTGTATTCTTGAAGAAACGAAACATGTTATTACATGCGTATTACTAGAATATGCACATCTCCCGTCGTCAATACCATAATATCGCTCAATAGATGAAATAAACAAATTCAACTACTTATTGACATCTGGTAATCCCTGCATTGGAAATAATAAGAAACTGTCATCACTAGATTCTAACGAACTTGTATAATCTATTGTCTACTTAGAACATATCATTTTGCTAGGTTCGATTTACAAGTCACAAGACGCTGTAAAATGCTAGTGTTCGGCAATAAAGTCATGATTGTCTTGTACATACAACAGCGATCGATGCCGTCTTCCATCTTCAGGAGTTGGGGCCTTGTTGCCTTAGAAGTTAGAAAAAAATACAGATCTTTTAGTGACAAGCATTCTGATACACTTATTGACGGAGTTACATTTTTCTGCACCTTGATGCTTTCATTAATTAATACAATGCATGACAGAAAAAAAATTACTGCATCTGAAAAGCACAGCTTATTTTTTTGAATATTTTGAATCACGAGAAACTATGTGTCTGTGCAACGCAAATTTCAAACTCTGCCGTCGGAAGGGGGGCCTCGGAATTCAGTGGCCTCTCCCATGCCCATGCCGCAGACAAACATCGTTTGTATAGTACATATATTTCCAAAATGATCAGGTGCAACTCAAACTTTTATGGTTCGACTCCTTGGTTCTAGTAACAGACCCCGCCGGTGGGGAAATGGATACTGTTTGACAAATGGATACAAGCCAGTTGATACTGTTACGGTTCCCTTACCCCCCGCCGAAAGGTCGCCCCGACGGTAACTCTATCTATATCTGGACCCAACTCTATTTGCTACTCTCCAAGCAGAGGTTTGGGTTTTGGGCTGATTTTGGGCGTGTTTTTATTTCTTATTTTTATTTTATCGGGGTTTCTTTGTTGCACTGGTATCTTTTTTTACGCCTAAGTACACGCGTACGCCCCAAGTCCAAATGGATACTGTCTGGCTGATGCCTACTGCCCGACCAATTTGAGACTGCATGTGTTTTGTGGTCACCGATACATCTGCTTGGAGATTAGGCCCCATCAACCTCTGCTTGGAGAATAAGCTGGCACACACACATGACACACGCAGCCTTTCTTTTTCAAAATAAATCTTTTCCACTGAAGATACAGAAACAACAAATCCACATAACAGTGCATCGGGTCATTGGGAACGTATTACTCTCGTGATATTTTAAGATAGGCAATTTAGCGCTTCAAAATAGACTATGAATCCAGATGTTCTATCGTTACAGACAGTTACTCAGTCATCGGTACAGTTTAATACTGAGGAAACATACATGTTTATCATGTTAAACTTTACCTTCATCAGGTTGCTGTGGCTGGCGCCTCTTTCTGGTCGATGGCTCTATTCTCCTTTTCCTCTTCCATTGCAAGTTTCTGCTGGTAAATCCCACAAACTCCGTCGTTTTCGTCTCAGAAACATTCTGCCACCCACCGCCGCCGACCGCCGCCTTCAAATTTTAGCGGTTACAGACAGCAGTAGCCAATCAGCGATCGTGTAATGGAACCAGAAACAGCCGGTTCACAGATAAGATCAAGATGTTCAGACCAGGAGATAGATAGAGAGATGCTCGAATTCATGAGGGCCTGCATGGGGGCAAGTGATCACGAATTACGCAAAATTTTTGCCGCCGATTACGAATTGCGTTTTCAAGTCTCAGCTGATTACGACTTTTACGCTTTGCGGCTAATGTGCTATTACGAATAATGTTGATTTTTGCTGCCAACGGATTACGAAGACAAAAAAGACCTGATTACGCCTTACGAAAAATGGCATGCAGGCCCGCATTCATCGTGGGAGATTGGGGATCATTGGGGCCGGAAGTTTTTCACGCCTACATGCAGGCCTGGCTTACATGTTTCCCTTCCCGACGGTCCATAAACCTTGTCCACGGCTATTGTTGAATAAGTGGGGCAATTCTCCCGTTCGGTTGAGAAGAGATTTCGAAGCGGGGTCAAGAAAAACGAAAGAATGCCCAGGCCTAGTAGGCCTCCTGATATATCATATACGGATCGGCATAAAGGTGGCCAGGCGGTTGGGTCCCGGGAAGGTTTCTTTCCCTCCAGTCAACAAACCTACAAGGCGGCCAAACTCCCCTGGCAAAGTTTCTCCGAAATAGCCAAATGTCATTCGTACATGTAAACAACAGTCGGTATGGTTTAGCTCAGTACTCTAGGTCCTGCATCAGTGATCCCTACGGGGCGTCCAACAGTGAATCCCCAGCGCTGTCCTTCCATGACAAGAGGTCACCAACTCTGTCGTGCCGTGGCGTTAAATAATCTCCAAGCAGATCCTTTGTCTTGTTCATATATGGACAAAAATGTCACCCCCATTCCATTTTTTGTTTGTTTGTTTGTTCCATTTCTCTCGAAGAATAAATGACAGTAAAGGCAAGACAGCTGCGCTTTGATTATATTTCTCTGAGCAGGTCAGCCCGCCCCCAGGTCAGTCCGCAGCCTGGCGCCAGCTGCTTGGATGATTTCTGTACTCATCAGTCGCTTACTCTCCGAGCAGATGTTGGGTCTCGGCTTGTTGACGTCTTTTTAGACGTTTTTCTCGTGTTTTCTCTTTTGTCACGGTTTTGTTCGTGCGCATGAGACCCTGTCAAAAATAAACGGGCCCGACAAAAACGCCTAAAACACTTCACGTCAACAACGTTCCCCTGCTTGGAACGGAATGCCACACACCTTCAACTTTCAAATATTGATGATTTTGATCGTCAAACCGTTCCAGAAATTATCTATCCGGATTGACAAACGCGTACAAACTGCTCTTCGTCGGGGAACAGACATCTTGACTATAAGTTATATAAGTTTACACGGGGCCCGAGGCTTATTTTTGGCATGTCAAGCTTTTTATCGGGGTTTCTTTTATGTACTGGAAGTTTTTACGCCAACCCAACGGACCGTTGGCATAAAAAAACTTCCAGTGCAAAAATCGAAACACGCCAAAAATGCGCCCCAAACTATACTCTCCAAGCAGAGATTTTGGGTTAGGCGTGCACATGTTTTTAGGAATTTCATCGGGGCTTGTTTGTTGCACTGGAATATATTTCACCCAATTCCAGTGCAAAAAAAGCGATAAAAATCCTAAAAACACGCCAACAATAACCCAAACCTCTGCTTGGAGAGTACCCAAACCAAACCTCTGCTGGCTTGGACTGGAGAGTAATTTTTCCGCGGGCTCTGACCAGGCCTGGGTCTGACCTAGTTTTACCGGGGCCCGTGGAGTGAGCGGCAAGTTAATCATTAGCTTTGACACGCCCACGTCGAGCGCGTTTGGTATCAGAGCAGGGAT